CCTAAGTTTGTCATTATAGAAGCCCTTTATTGTTCAACAATCTTGAATTAAGGCCAATATCTTATCATAATATCAACCTTAATTTTTTAAGTTCCAGTTAATAACCTAAATTTGTCATTATACTTTGAATCATCCAACATCTTCCCCAGCATATGTGAATCATTTCAGTTTACGTTTTAAAAGCTCACGGGTCATCAATATTTCATAAAATCGAAATTATTGCTCTGTTTATGTGGTTTAATATCATACAAAAGCCTGCTACGCGTCAGCAGCTCCCCTGAATAATATTTTGTAGAAGCCCTTTAGTGTTCAACAATATTAAATTAATGCAAATATCTTTCATAATATCAACCTTAATTTGCAGTCGGGTTAATTTAAACATCACGGCAGATATCGATGCTATCGACAACGCATGGCTCTTCATTTATGCTTCCTTTGCCCACATATGAAAGAAACTTAATCGCGATGTCTGCTTCTCTGAACAAAAATGCTTCCACAAAATGCTTCTCTGCTTCCACAAAATTATGTGTGGCTAGTTTCATAGTAATTTGTGTCATAATAACCTTAATTAAAACCACTTGAATGCATATTACGATTTTATCCGAGCTCCTAAAATCATCTGAATGTCGAATAAAGCCGTTGCCGTTTCATTCACCAAGTAGTTGAAAGCTTCTATCACCATTAAAAGGTCGTGTCGGACAGCTCAACAGCGCGGTGCTCATAAATGCTTTTACGAACATTAAGCACAGGCAACATTAATTTCTCTTGCCAATTCAACTGAGGCGAGGAAATGGCCAGGTTTTCTCTTCGTGATGTGGCGGTCATTGCCACCTTCGATGTTATAATTAGGCCATTGCACGCGAACGAAGAAAGAGAACAGTAACAAATTCATAATATTGACATTGAATTTATAAATTCAATGTAACTTTGAGGTTTAAATTCAGCAGGGTTAGCGCAAAACAGCTGGTGCGATTTCATTCTGAATTTCAGCTAAATTCATTCGAATTCCGAGGCATTGCATAAACATAAGAAAAGGTTTATCAATACAGACTTAGATTGGAGAATTAAATTTGTTTTATATTTCAACCACATTATTGATTTGGCTGCTGCTGTAATTATAAGTCAATGCGTAATCACAAGAAAACGGATTCCGGGATGAAGCATGCAGGCAAACCGACAACATGACGGGGAAAGATTAGACGGTATCACGGCAAGCAGGATCCCAGGAATGACTCAGCAAAAATTATACAAATCCAGTTAATAACCTAAAAATCATAATGATTAACCGTTTACAGCGAGGCTGGCGGGAAACTCTCCCTTTCTTTCAATGTTTTGGCGTCATGGAGCCAGACGCCATTAAATCCAACCGTGATTATATCTGCTGGTGCGACCTGCGTGCAGTCTGATGTTTCAACGCATGCTCGGTGCGCCTTCGTTTAGACGCTGGAGACTCGTACACTGGTCGGCACCTCTTAATTGACACAAAAATCGTTAAAAAAACAAGTGTTAATTAGTGAACAGCTTTGTTGATAGTGAAGAGCATGCGATTTAATGGACAAAAAAGCCGGACGAATAATCGCTAGCAGAAAAGCCCCCATTTCGACGATAATTTCTCATCTTTCTACACTTCGATGTTTTGCGCAAGATGTCCGGCGCAACGCTATCAACGCAGCACCGGTCAATGAATCGCAATAGAAGTTAAAGTTTATCCTTGGTCAACAGGAATAGAATTAGACTTGGTGAGAGGCGAAAAGTTTCAGTTAGAAAACCTCATACAGGTGTGCTTGATGGGGTCTTAAATTCAATCAGAATACATTAGCTTTATTGTCATTAATTGGCTACCGGATTACGGTAATTACGCTCTCAAAATAACAGAAATCTAATATTTCAGGTATTATCAATCCATTAGTTTTTGTATAAAATAAAATTTACTGGAAAAGTGAATTTTTCCAACAATTTTACTTTTATTCATGTCCCCCTCCTCCACAATTGCTAGTACCGTTCTAATGACCGTGAAATAGAGCACAGGTCTGCACCAACCGCCTGTTGGTCACCAGCTCCGCCCACTGCTCGGTATTATACGTCACCTGAAACGCTGCCGTTAACAGGAAGCGTTCAGGTCTGGAATCAGCTGAACACTTGCGAATATGTTGATATTACTACTCAAGGAATAGCTGGTTAATCCAAGACACTAATATATTAACGGTATGATATATCTGCATTCACGGTTGTAATTCGCTCAGTTTATTTTATCTCCCATCCTATTTTCAAAATAGCGCCTCACTGAGAATGCTTTGGCAAAAAATGGCATGCATAATAAAAGAAGAAAGCCATGTTACTTAATTTAATAATAAAGGTAAAATCAAAACAAAAGATGTTACATGTTTACCTCAAACTGTAGATCAAGTCTCTAGGTACAAACAATAGCTGCAAAATCGGCACAGGCGACATGGAATGGAGGTCATACTGTACGTGTACAGCCAGAATATGTGCCATGAAATAACAGTGATATCAAATGCTAAGGTGAGGTCAGGTAAACAGCGACGATAGACAGGAACATCCTTCTATTGTTATGAAAACTATAAACTACATTATTTTCAAGAATAGCTGCAATAACATGGAGGCTTTCAAATTAATTACCTCAAAATAAACATTATTCATGAGCATCGCCTACGCTTGCAAAAAAATCCGAATCGGCGTGATTTTGATTAGCATGGAAGATTGGAAGTACATCCTAAATAACAGCAACAGTTGATTACGCGCTCTAAGTCATTCTGGGTTTGAAAAATAAATCTTAAAGGTCGAACGTCCAAAAGAAACGTCAATAAATTGTTGCTAGCTCAGTAAAATCGCAGGCTGGGCGCTGCAATTCGTTCCTGAGTCAAAAAAATTGCACTATAATTCCTTAAAAGATATCACAAACGTCGTTTCTACATTCTTAAAGTTATATATCAGCAGTTGACGAGAAATACAGTCACATTTAGTGCGATTTAATCCATTTCTAAGGTGATAAAAGGCTAAAATTCCTGGCACATTATTGAATACACGGTAGAAATTGTGATAGATATTGGCAGTGGTAAGATGCAGGTTTCACGCAAGGGAGAGGCAGCGCGATCAGATCAAGTTTGCATTTAAATGAGCCCCTTTTGTCTATGATTTTCGACAGTAACACATGCATCATAGAATATGCTGAATACACGATTGTATTTATGAAAAGTATTACTATATTTGATTGCGAGATAAGCTGTATTTTCTTACGAGAAGCAATGCGACGACTTTCAACAAATTTGATGATGCTGTACCAAGAGTGAGCGGCAGTTGATTTCGATTGAAATATGCAATAGAAAGTATATTATGAACGCTTGCAAGAATCCGCGTAAAGTGACAAATAATGTACGGAATTTTTGCACAATATTTAATCAGTACGAGAATAATTATTCGCGTGAATATTAAAATTTCATATAAAAAAGATTGCAAGGAAATATTTTTTTCGCAAGGACGCGCTAACTGACGTCACATGAGGCTGGTTACAATTTTTTGGATATATATTGATACAGTAGCTAAACGGGCAATTGCGGTCTCACTATCCTAAGAATATCATTGCTAATACCAGCAATAGCACACAAACGATGAAAGTTGTACAAACTATCAAGAGAAAGATCACTAGGAATTCTTGTCGAAAAAGCTACGAGTTAGGTTTGATATGTAGACACTCCTGCTCCAGTCTGAGCGCTTCAGTCTCGTCCGTAAGACTGATAATATCCAACGACGAATTCATCGTGTCCTGGGCCTATATTTTCAAAAAAGATAAGTGATCGTATGATCATCAGCCAATCATTGACGGCCTTTCAAGCAAAATCCACTAATCATAGACAAGAAAATAGAGCGTAAGTACTTACGTTCACTTAGCGAATTTTAAAAGTATGGCCCCTAGAATATTACCTACGTCAACTTGATGAGGTTGACGGACACATAAACTACAACGAGGATCAGGTAAAGGCCAGGATTGGTACTCTCAGTTCAATGCTACATATACCGGTACACAAAATTATTTTGAAATATTAGAAATCCTCACTGCTTTATTAAATTTAAATTGAGGTTTCTTCGTGTTATCTCGAAGATGACGAAATTAAATACGTTTGTGCCGTTACACATTAAAATTCATAATAGTTTCAATCGTACAGGGAATTTAATAAGCATTCGATCATTATTTCAATTCCTTTAGGAGTTTCTCAGGACTAATGATAAATAGTCCTTAATAAATTTTTTGAATTAAAATCGTTCTCCGTATGTATTCCTGCCATGAAAGAGAGGCTACGTTGCAACGATCCGCCCAATGTAGGCATAAGAATGAAATAGAACGGCCCAATGCAAGCAAATTCAAGGCATCTGGTGACTGAGGAACGAATGAACACGCTTTTAATGGCGGTGTCATTTTCCATTCCACCAAAAATCTTACGATTTATCATGACTCTAAACTAACGCAGTCGGGTCACAGCGCATGACAAGCTTTGAATCGGAGAGATGCAAGCAGGGCAACGAAAATATAAGCCTAACACAGATACAGAAAATAACTATATAAATGAAAATATCAATTAACAAGCTGAAAGAAGCATCATTAATTCTTCACCAAGTTCCCCTTAATGACTCAAGAAGTTCATATCGTATTAAATAAAATCTAAAATGATTAGTGAACAAACGCTATTAATAAAATCGAAGCCCCCTTTTATTACCATAGCAAAGCACCAAACAAAACTTAGAGTAAATTTAATTGGTCGTAGCAACACACAGAGAACCCGAAGACCATGGTTGAACTAGTATAAGGTTGACCCATGGGAAGCTCATTTTTGCGGACGTAGTTTGTTGTTCGCCCGTGACGTCACTGATCTCGGTGACGTCACGGACATTAACCAATCACCGAAACCAGTCAACCAATCCGTCATTGGAATGACGGGATTGTTTAAGTTTCTCGATCTCAGTGACATAACAAGAAAGCTGAACTGAAAGGCGGAACTTCTCGTGGGTCAACCTTATATAGTTCAACCATGCCAAAGACATCACGCCTCGACAAAACAGGCGTCAATTAAAGTATATACGTTTTAAATAGAAGTCAAATATTAAAAATATTAAGATTTTGTTTGAGTCTATCAAGATGTTGACTCGCGATAACTTGAGAAGAAATAAACTTTAAGAAATTCGGAGTTATCACTAGACTAGGGTTTCAACCTAATGAGATTCCAATAACTTGCAATAAAATGTAATTTTAGTATCATAATAACTTCCATGAACCTAGCTTGTATAGACACAATAAACATCAAAGCAAGACATGATATGGAATTCCATGTTATGCTAAATTCAAATTCTACTAAAATAAAAATAGATAAAAAATCTGAAGATTGCAAGAAATATTCACATCTTAAACTAAGGACAAATATCATTGCTATGCAAGTAACGAACAAATCCATTTAATGTATTCAATATTATAATCAGCTTCCTCTAAGCTTAATTTATGATTTTCCGTAAAAAAATTTCAACAAAATTATACGCAGCAACGAGGAACCCAGTTCTGACCTGACTAATACATCACAAGTCTATAGTCTACGAAAAAGTCTGGTCCCGATAAAATTACTTCACCTAGCGAAAAGTTTACCTAGATCAATAACTCGTTACACAAGTGGAACAACGTACCGTAAATAAAACGATGGCCAAATTCACGTTCTTTTCATTTTCAGGAAGATGAAGCCGACGCTCTCTCAAGTCAGGAAATGTTGATTATTTGTGTCTACCACTGCGCCCTTCGTGGTCACATGTTTGATAGTAACTCCTTCATGTACCTCTAAAGTAGACCATCTTATACCTGCTGCATCTGATGTACCAGTTAACTTATTACGAACATACGAGCAAGAACCACTGAATCATTATCACTGAAAATCAAATTTAGAAACCATGCAAAACCTTGTTGAAACTTAAGCTGTAATTATTCTCCTTAGGGCACCATAATAATATATTCAGATCTGAAATAATCAATAAATTCAAGATTGCATTGTTTCGTAAAAACTAAAATATTAGTGAAATGATCAGACAGCTCTTCTACCATACCATAATCATAATAAATCCGAGTCTTATTTTAACATTAATTTCAATAAAAATGATGAATAACAACAATATTTAACAGCAACTCAGCCGAATAAATGCAGCAAATGAGCAATTAATAACATTTTCACAAAAGATCAACAGGGAGCAGGAACAGCCAGATACCTAGCCAACCAGGACCAGCATTTTCTTGTCACAATCTTCGACCAAACAAAACGTGTAGTTGCTTTTTGTATTCCCAGACGAGTTTCATCTCATTATAATAAATCGAAGGCAGCATTATAAAACACTTGCAAGTCAAGAGACGCGCTAAAATATGAATTATCCAAGTCAGAAATTATCACATGGCCAAGATGTTCAATTTTTTTTACCAATGGCGATGTCTTGATTGTTCAGGCCCCATTAATTTAACATAAAAAACGCAGCATGGTAGCTAAAATTCTACCCAGCCATAGATTTATATTGAAGATACATGGCATCCATCGAAGAAAACTGGGCCTGTTTGATATGATACGAGCAGATGATGTATGAACGTGAGACAGTTCAGCTAAGTGATCGCAGGTGCTTAGGCTGGCTGACTAGGATGCTGCAACATGTTAGTGACCCGTCAGCTTTCTGCAGTTCGCTGAACTCTAAGCCTCTGAGTTTCAGGTGTCCCAACTTGCTTGTGATGACCTAAAACATGAGTGAATATAAAAATCAAAGCATACACAAAAATATCTCTATAAATAACTAGTTTATGTTATTTCAAGAACAACAAGTAACAAGTAGCAATATGAGAACAAACCAGAATTGTTACACAGTTAAATCAGATTACAAACGGTCGTTTAATATTAACGTTTGCGCTGATGCCAAGCAACAGTACAGCTATGCTTGTCACCTTGGCACTCTCAGGGAGCTCGGACGCAGCGCGGTGCAGCAATGTGCCGTTAGCATAGACGCAGTTGGCCGCACATATGTCGTCCACCGTCACTGTCTTGTAGGTGAAACTCGCGCAGCTCTCGATGCGCTGGAAAAATTATTTTAGGCATATTGTTTGTAATCAATGGATCCGTGTTTTGTGACTTTAGATTAAAATATTAAAGCAACAATATATTCGACTTAAATAAACTCAGGATATAATACAAGCTTCATTTAAGATATGAAAAGTTTAAGATTCACACAAGATAAGCGTACTATTACTTACTCGTGATTATAACTAGCCATGAAATATTCACAAAATCTGCTGTTGTCTGAAGTTCAACCCAATCAATCGAACATCTAAAACTAATATATATCTTTATATATATTCATGCGATTGATGACCAGAGAATTCATTGATTCAAATTATCAGAGAGTGGAACAATTCTTCAGATGACGGTAGAATGGAAGGCAAGTTTCAGGAAGTAGTTTTAGTTTATTAACGACGTTTCGAATGCAGCAAACATTCATTTTCAAGTTACAAAAAACATTAAATATTGAAATTATGGTGGAAATAAGTACATAATATATGTAAATAGGATACAACAGTAAAACTTTTTACTAGGTTTTGAATAACATCGGAGTTATTGGAGTAACACTGTGATTTTGAACAGCCGTTTCTCCTACCCACCAAAGACAAACTCACAACCAGACCTGGGCCCATACTTTCAAAAAAAGTTAAGAGATCGTAAGTTCATCAGCCAATCATTGACGGCCTTTCAAAAGTTAAGAGATCGTAAGTTCATCAGCCAATCATTGACGGCCTTTCAAGCAAAATCCACCAATCATGGACAAGAAAATAGAGCGCAATTACTTACGTTCACTTAGCGAATTTCTAAAGTATGGCTCCATGTCTCAAAGTATTACAAACAAGCAACTTCATCTCAAGATCGTCAATGAATTCAACAGACAACAGGCTTCGTGACACCCTTGAAAACAACGTCAAACTTCGAACTAAATGCAACAATGGCCCTAGCATAAACGCGGAAGTACGGTTTAGTCTATAAATTTTGCTTAGAAGGAAGTTGTAGACTTCTTCATGATTTAACCTACCTACATCGAACAAACTGGAATAATAACCAGGACATTAAGCAGCTCTCATTAGCTTCCATCAAACTGGAAGGCAAGTGAACCACATAAGACAAGCTCACAACCAGACCGTCACTCGCATCATGCTGGAATAACCCACCAGCATCGTCATCAAGCAGTGGACCGACATCAATCAACCGACGATATCTAGTATGTAATCGTTTGTGGTCAAAAATGTATAATTTACGGTTTACCTCATCTCTGTGGATTGGACTCTAGCTATCTATCTCCCAACAACCGTATTTGTCTAAACTTTGAGATAGTTTTCAGAGTGATTTATCGCGTTAAAAATTTTACTGTTGTATCCTGTTTACATATATTATGTAATTATTTCCAAAAATTTTTAAAATATCTAATGCTTCTAGTAACTATGAATGTAAAATGGATGTTTGTTGCATTCAAAACGTGGTTAATAAAATAAACATACTTCCAGAAACATGCCTTTTGATCTACCAACGTCATCTGATGAATTGTTTGACTTTCTGAAAATTAAAATCAACGAATTCTCTGGTCATTAAGAGCCCGTGAATAAACAAGTAAATTTCGCTATCTAATAATAATTTATATACACCAAACATTATTCCTAATTTGCTAATCTCATAAATTAATAAAATACCTATATTTATATATTAAAAGTGAAATTCGTTAGATCGAGATCCAGACAAAGGAAGAAAAGTCATTATCATAGTAAATACTCAAGAAAGGATTTAAATACCTTCAAAACTTCCTGGGCATGCTTATCTTTGGCCACACAGATGACATCAGGTCCTGCCATTGTCAGCAAACTTTTTAAGTGAAGAGCGCCATCAACCTATCAAACATACATAAATAACTCAACATTAAATTTTTTCCTTATAAATATTAGAAAGCAATATAAAAAAATATCAGTGAAGTTCTTCAATTGATATCATTCATAAATTGAATCGACATCAGTCATTTATCAGTCATGATGGCAATAAAGATGGTGTATCAATCATCAATTCTTTTGATGTCAGTAATTTTCATTCAAGCTCTTGCTGTACAAGTGAGATATCTATACCTATTGTAGAGATGAATCAATTCCTTAATACAGTCAGGAAATTTCCTGAACTTCTTTAGTGCCTCCATAATAAAAACAAAATATTAGTGGAAGTCAATTTTGTTTCGCTGAGCATATCCATTAAATTATGTTACAATTTTCAATCATTTAAACAGAATTATTTAATTTGAAAAAATACATGTAAAAATTCTTAATTCCTGTGATTAATTTGTGCTCAATTTCATGTATTGTGGTAAACGTTTTGAAAAGGTACCCCTATTTAACCTCACCCTGTACAACAGCATCAAGAACAAGTGTCTACAATTTAATATTAATTTCAGGAGTAAACAACAACAGTGTTGACATCACCTTCACAGGAGAACATGGGAACTCAGGGAAGGCATTGGCGAGGGCAACAGCCCCAGAGCGGCTGGAGCGCTCAGACAATCCTACAAAAAACTCGCGTCCTGAAACAATTCAGCCATGTTAGGTTTAATTTAATATAAATCAATGGTACACTGACTTAATCTCTTTCCTTCTGATTAAAGAATTGATCAAAAATGAAACCATGTTGATACATATAAAATATTTTACAGAAATGGCCCAGAATTAGGGGACATTGCAATGCTAATAGACAGCTAGAATACAAGTGAGGATAATACAAGATATAGAGGAGAAAAATCCTGAAATTAATTACAAGTTCTAATAAATTTTAAATTGGTTATCACTAATACATGTTGTATAGGTACAAGTGATAAAGCTGCATACTCACCTGTAAATAGAACATCTCCGCCTTCAAGCGTTGCACTTTCATCACTGATCTCCATTACTGGTAGGTTCAGTTCCTTTTGAAGGATGCTCTTCATGTACTTGACCTGAAATTGAAATTAAATATTATACTGATTGAATAAAGCCATGAAATTTGAACATTCAAATTCACCAAATAATGCATAATAAAAGGACGCAACACATTAAATAATTTGCACATAAGAATTACTAATCATAACATGAGGACCTTTTAAATGACATCATACAAAGTTTTGAAATAATAATAGAATTTCTTAATATAATAATATTAAGACAAATTAAAATTATAAAATGATTGCAATTTTCCAATGTTTTGCTTTCATAGCAATTAGGTAGATAGGAGATTTATGATGTGATTTATAATGATAAGAGATAACCTTTACTAAGAGGTTACATATTATAACTTTTATAGGTAAATAAGTAATAGAATCATGAACAAGTATATAAATGCATATCATAATGTGCAAAACCCAGGCACCTCTTGCCTCCGAGAAGGTGGCTGTGGTCTACACAAAAGAGCAATTCCATTGCAGACAACTGCAGTGTCTTCCACAAATGTGCAGTCTGGCTGCTGTTCATCAGCTGGAAGTTCAATCACGTCTAAACCAGCATCACGAAGAGCTTGCACATATGCTTCATGCTGTCTCCGACACTGAAAAAGATTTTCAAAGGGACAAATAAAGGTGAGTTTCCTACAACTGGCTACAAGTCCACCCACAAAACATGACAAAAGAGTGCACTTAAAAGTTTAAGATTACTGCATTTTAGTACAAGTTCACACAAATTACTGGATAAATGTTTTAATTAAAGCCCTAATAAATAATTCTAAAAGTATTTAAAAATTATAAGAAGGTTTTCAAATGTATTGACTTTCAAAATATTATGAGAACTAAACTCCCTTGCCTATAGACTACTTAACCTATCATAATGATTCTTGCCTAGATTTTTCTGTGATAGGACAAACCACTCATTTTTGCCCACAAACCATTTTTTTTAAATTGTCTGTGAAATAGATCTTATAATCTGCAATTTTTAGAATTCTGCCCAATATTCCAGATGGAATCTACAGTAGAGGGAATCTCATAACACCAAAAATGACAGCAAAGCTCAAGTTTTGGCTCAAAAAGTATGTATAATATATGCCACAGTGACAATGGCATTGTTAGCATTGAATATTTAATGCTATCATTTGAAGAATTATCTTAATATTATATTGGAATTAAGTGCATGCTGACCTCCGGTCAATGTTCATGACCTTCAAGTTGGTCATACAAGGTGCATAAAAGCTCTCCTACTAGCATCGAAAAATAAAAAATAAACAGAAACAACATACTAAAACATTTGGCATGGTCACCTTTGCCTTCCCACGATCCCACCCTCCCCTCTCTTGATGCTCCACTCTGCAAGACCTCACTCTTATTATCCTCCTCCACTCACTCATCCTGTACACCTTTCCAATATCTCACACTCACAAGCATAGCCACAGTTGCTCCCTCAGATAGACCCACAATCATTGCCATCCACTCTTTGCTTGTTCTCTCATACCCCACTTTGTTAATCTCACCTCACTCATTCAGAATCACCTCCATCATGATCATAGACTGATGCTCTCTCTCATACACCTCACAATCCATCAACAAGTGCTGAAACTCCAAGATTAAGCCTCAATATTTGAAATTTGCCATTTTTATGCCTTCTGAGTTCTGACTTTAATATTATTTAAAACTTTTACATTCACAAGAGTCACCTGTCACCAATTTAAGTTTGGAAAGCATCTAACTTTAGGGCCATGACTAAAGCTTTCCTGCTAAATCCCGCCATTTCTGGAACCACATGATTACCAACAGATGAATCAGTATATTGACTCCAATTTTATTGTTAACAAAAGTGCATGAAAAATCAGGCCGCAAGATTCTAAATGTATTTAAAATTCGTCATGTTTGAGCTGCAAGATTTCAGAAACAAGTGGGAAAATTCTAATCCTGGTCACCATCACCACACTGAAATACCTATTATTCTCATTTATTCATTTGAAAAACAAAACATAATCTGTCAGGTATTCATCCTATTCCTATAGGCTATATGGCATTTTCATAGCTTGGTATTGCCGTATTGGTATAGTGAGTTTTTATTATTAGTGACTATGGATGATCTGTGCCTCCCTAGTCCCTTCCATAGCAATAAATGATGGCATCATGATTCATGATGATCATGGCATGGCAATGGCCAATGGCATCGCATTGGCATCATTCATGATTAATGGCAATCATGGAACTAGGCTATCCACTATCCAGAATATTTTGCAGCTGAAAAATCTCAACTATTGCAATTTTTATATTAGTTAGAACACTCATATGCATTTCCTGACTTGCCTTTTTTGGCATGCATTTTCTATCTTACCTTTGCAAGGTCAATTGGATTTTCAACTCCAATTGCTTTGTTGATTGAGTCGGGGACCCTACAAACAATAGCGTGCGTAAATCTGGAAGACATTCTACATCCTAACCTTTCTGTAGGTAAAAAGTAACAAATTTACCCTCTATGAGAGACAACAAAATTAACGAATAATATTGCAACTAACAGCGCTCACTATCTCTTAATCTGAATACATCACGCTCGCTCTACGCCTTACCACACCTAACTGATCTGCAATGTTTACATTCCATTCTTGATTTGAGATTTCCAAAAATTGTTGGAAACGTCATTTCAACATGACGGATGACACGCCCGTATGAAGTCGTTTTTTCGTCATTATTTGAAAGCCAACATAAATATTAGACCATTTTCACAGAATATTACTGCTTAACCGATATGAACAAATTCATTTATCGTAGGGAAACTTGAATTGTCGTTGGAACTACCTTACTACCAAGTACCAAGCGGCAAGCTGTTACCTACCATGATAAGATGTGTATTTTGGTCATTCATAACTGTAGTAGGGGGTAGTGCCGTAGTCAGACTGTCAGTAGTGGCTTACATTGGGTCCTGGGAGGATAAAATCAGTTGCGTTTGCCGTGGTAGCACGTGTGTGAATTGCGATCTCTAAACGTCTAAAGTAACCGGTAAATTTGTGACTCAAAGTTTCTTAAAAGTATTCAAAACCTTAATTATTTGATTTGTTTACTCATTAACTTTAACCCGACTGGCTTTCTCCCTCAGAGGTTTGCCGGTCCGCCTTGTTATTTTTATTTTTTCTTTATTTTATTTTTAATTTGTTTATTTATTTTTTTCTTTTCTTGCTCTTCTACTTTATTTAGTTTTTGTCTTGCTATTTTTTTTGTTTGTTTTCTAACTTCTGTTTTGTCTGTTCCACATGGATGATCTTAGTTGCCTTACGGTGTCTGGTTTTGGCCCACCTGTGGTGCTTGGAGCAGCTGCAGCAGGGGCTTGTGTTGGGGACTTGGGGGTCCTCAGGGAAGCATCTTCTGATGGCTTGGTGGTGGAGGAGTCAGTGTCAGACTGTGAGAGCCTTGTTGAAGCAACTCCCGTAGAGTCGATGGCTGTTAAGCTTGGGCGAAAACGCAGAGAGAGAGAGACAAATGGCTCAAGCGAGAGCATTGGTGGTACTAAGGCTAAGCGCCCAACAACGCAGAGCAATAGAGTATCGATAGAAAGTGTCCCTAACCCCATTAATTTGAAGAATGTGAAGCTGCCAACTAATGCCACTCTGCAAAGCTCAGGTAGTGGACTGACCATCCTGATAAAACCACAGGGTCCAAATGCTGTATCCTTTCTAAAAGATCCAATTGGCTTGGCAGAGGGAATTAAAAGCTCATCGTTTGGAGCAGTGAGGGACTTGACTGTACGTCCTAACCAGTAACCCCCAACGCCAGTTGATTGCTGTGCAGTCTCCTACCCTCACAGTCTCACTGATCAAAACATTGCCAATTATCTTGATGTCTCTATGATCGGAAAGTGGGCTGTTCGTTGCTACCAGCCAGGTTCTGATGTGCGGGTGCCGGGGTGTGCGGGGTCATTGGGCCAATTGATCCCAATGTTGACATGAAATTATGAAAGATATGGTGGAACTTGCAAGTGCTGGTCCTGCTGGAGATGTTGTCATTTTGGACATCATCCGGCTAACCAGATTTCATAATGGAAATCGGGAGCCTTCAGCTACTCTTAAAGTCACTTTTCAAGGTCAAGTGTTGCCAAAAAAACTTAAAATTGGATATGTCTCTTACTCAGTAAGACCCTTTGTTGCCTTCCCAATGAGGTGCTACAGATGCCAAAGATTGGGGCACTTAGCAGAGGGTTGCAATTCTCCTAGAAGGTGCCTCTTATGTGCTGGTCCTCATGAGCACACAGTTTGTACATCAGCTGAGAAACACTGTGCCAACTGCAGAGGAGCCCATGCTGCAAATTCTGTAGAGTGTCCTTTCATTGTGAAAGCCATTGCAGTTGAAAAGCTGCATGCCACTGGTTACTCTTATGCTCAGGCTGTAAAGGATGTTGAGGTGTCAGCACCAACAGCACGGAGACAGGCCCCTGGTCTGGTTGTGCCAAGCTCACATACTTCCTATGCTTCTATTGTGGCAGACTCAAGCCCTCCTTGTCCTGCACCGGTGGCTCGTGCCACTGTGACGGTGCCAATTGATGTTCATCAATCTCAGGGCAGCTGCTCAGGTGTTCTTACCAAGCAGTCTCAGCCTCTTGTGAGTCGGCGGGCCAGTCTGTAGAGTATGGCACAACATAGGTTGAGGACGCCGTTTTTCTGCCCAAAAGACTCCAAGGCACCATCTAAACGGACGGTGGACGCCGATGTTTGCAGCAAACGGACGGCGAGGACGCCAAAATTTATTGCCCATGGTCTGGAAGGTGTTGCGACTTGCGTGGGCGCCGGAAGCTTACCATGCACACCACCAGTACGCCAGGGAAGAAAGTTGCCACTATGTTTGCTAGAAATA